ACCCTTAGACATTGGATCACGGATTAAGTCTAACTTATCAACTAGATTATTAATACTCATCATTGTAATAATCGTAGGGACTATTGAATGTTGTATGAAACTTTTGACAAATGCTGTTACCCAAAAGACTCATTTAATGCCTTTGAAAAGAATGATATACATTGACAGTACTTATATTTCAGGTGGACTCGAGCCCACTCCTTGAATAAGCCATCAGATGTCAGGTTATTCCTCTAATGTGGTCTGGCCTGCACTAACCTGAAGTAGTAAAACCACACAAGCAAGAGGCTAAAGCTATGGCATGGTGAAGATGTGAAATAGTGCCAAGTTAACTTTTCCGGATGTTTTGCTGCTATTCGTAGTTTGATTTCATTTTTCTTGAATCAACAGTCAGCACCCCTGGAAGCAGCAGTCAGGAGACTGAATGACGTAGTATATTTGTGCAGGTCTGCTGCAAAGGACCTTTTTAAAATGTTGAGAGGCAGAGATGTCACATTGAGGACTAAGCTGCGATTGACCCAAGCCATGTTATTGTCAACCACCCTATATGTGTGGGAAGGTTGGACAATGAATAAGGAAAATCAAGGAAGAATTGACGCCTTTGTATTAGGGTGTTGGCAAAGAATATTGAGTATACCATGGACTGCTAGGAAAACAAATCTGTCTTGGAAGAAGTACGGCCAGAGTGCTCCTTAGGAGGGAGGATAGTGCAGGATGGGGCAGAATTTTGTTCTCTTCTGCATGGAGTCACTGTGAGTTGGAGCTGACTTGGCAGCACCTAACAACAGCAGTCATTTCACACGCATAGCGTCTGAGGTCTTAAAGTTGTATTAAACAAACAGCCATCCAGAATAAAACATATGCTCAAAGTCCACGCAGAAGAAAGCCTTCCTTCAGAATAGTGGTCAGTGAAATGATCAAAAAAAATTTTTGAAATGCTTGATCAAAAGGAGGTAATGTGTAAGGGAATTTTAAAATTTGAGGTACCTTAGAAAATCTGAAATGGCCGGCTTCAGGTTTGAGTATGACTCCAGTGGCTCTTTCCACTTCCACCATAGCAGTGGCCATTTTCCGTGCAGACATAATCATGAAACTAAGAAATGTCTGGCAATGATGATACAACTACACTGTGACAGCTCTGAGAGAAGAGTATCCGGTAATACTGATGTGTCTACCCTGCAACACCCCCCCACCGTCACATACCCTTATGATTACCACATTGTAACCAATCTAAGGAAGACACATATCCTTTTAAGGCAATTGCCTTACAAGCTTCCACTATAGGAAATCTTGCCTTTTGAGTTTCCACCACAGGAAGTCCCACCTTTAGGAGACCTTAAAATGATATGCTACTAATCGAGTGATGTCTTTTGATGATCTCAGCCTGTAATTACCAATCAAATAATGTCTTTCAATGATGTAAGTTTGTAAATATCAGTCAAGTACTGTACTTCATATCCTTTGTTTCCCCCTTCTAAAATATCACTGCTGAGTCACCATAGTGGATTACTGGGTTCCACCACATGGAATTCAGTCTATCTCCTGCTCAAGCTGTCTCTTTACTTTCACTAAATTTCTCAATTTTACATTAAACAGAGTATGAATGATTACTCTCTGACAGTCCTTGGTTACTGAGAGAGAACCTCTAAAACCTTGGAATTTCCCCAGTAATCATAAATGTCTTTGATGAGGGCTCCAGACCATACCTAACCTAGCGGGTTATGCTAATGAGGTGACTCTTGGGTGGGAGCTGGCAATATGATACGATATTAAGCTTGTGATCACCTCGTCGTAACAACCGACCTCAGGGGAGAGGACTGGAGTTTGCATTATGTAATGACACCCTCCAGCACATGGACACTCCATGGGCCTCCTAGTTGGTGAAAGACATCACGTGGGAGAGTAGTGCATCCCTTTTTGGGACATCGAAGCTCCATGCTGGGAACTCTCCTCTCAGTTATCTATTGCTGCTGTAATAGAAATGGGTGGCTTTAGTGAACAGAAATTTATTTTCTCACCATTTAGGAGGCTAGAATTCTAATTTCAGGGCGTTGGCGCTAGGGAAATGCTTTCTGTCTCTGTAGGCTCTGGGGGAAAGTCCTTGTCTGTCAAGGATTGAATTGTGACCCCACAAATATGTGTGTCAACTTAGCTAGTCCATGATTCCCAGTATTGTGTGATTGTCCACCATTTTTTCATCCGATGTGATTTTCCTGTGTTGTAAATCCTACCTCTATGATGTTAATTAGGTTGGATTATGGACAGTTACGTTAATGAGGCAGGACCAAATTTACAAGATTAGGTTGTGTCTTAAATCAGTCTTTTTTGAAATATTAAAGAGAGAAGCTGCAGAGAGACATGGGGAACCTCATACCACCAAAAAGCAAGAGCAGGAGGATAGCGTGTCCTTTGGACCCGAGGTCCCTGCGCTGAGAAGCTCCTCAACCAGGGAAGATTGATGACAAGGACCTTTCCCCAGAGCCAACAGAGAGAGAAAGCCTTCCCCTGGAGCTGGCATCCTGAATTCTGACTTCTAGCCTCCTGCACTCTTGAGAGAATTAATTTGTTTGTTAAAGCAATCCACTTGTGATACTTCTCTTATAGCAGCACTAGATAACTAAGACATTGTCACTTTTCAGCTTCTATTCCTTGGCCATCATGGTGATCTTCACGTGGCATGGCATCTATCTTCCCCCATCTCAGCTTGCTTGCTGCTTGCTTAATCTGCCGTTTTAAATCTCAATAAATTAGTTTAAGACACATCCTACACTTAGAATGCCTCATTAACGTAACAAAGAAAACCCATTCCCAAATGGAATTCTAACTGCGGGTATAGAGGTTAGGATTTGTAACACATATTTTTGGGAGACACAGTTAAATCGATAACACCTCCCAAACCTCACTCTATATGTCTCTTCATTTGTATCCTTTTTGCTGTAATAAAATTATAATTGTATGTGTGATGCTTTCCGTGAGTTCTGTGAATCATTCTAGCAAGTGATCAAACCAAAGGGAGTAGAGAGAGCCAGGAGGTCAGAGTGAGGGGTGCTGGTATCCCCTGCGCTTATGGCTGGTATCCTGAGGAGGTAGAGGGAACCCCTGTATTAGTAGCCAGCATGTTGGAAGTAAGGGTGTCTTGTGGGCTTCTGAGCTTATGGCTGTTGTCTGAGGCCTTGGGCCAACTTGGCAGTCTGGTGGACTGTGTCCTCTAACCTGTGAGATCTGACCTAGCTCCAGGTGGTTACGGTCAGAAGGGAAGTTGCTGCATGTGCAGCTGGTGTCAGAACAGAAGTGGCAGAGAAGTAAAAAAGTGGGGATTTTGATTATGTCCTCTCAGCTTGTTAACTTTTGTGTAGGTGCAGAGAATGCAGATGGTTGAATAGGTTAGATTAAGGAGATTGCAGGACAGTTCTGATAAAGGAAGGGACATTCAGGATGGTGGGGAGAGGGTTTGAAACAGGTTTGGTGTGGGGGAAAGAAAGATTGTGAAGTTTGGGAGAGTTTGGTTTGTCTTCAGAGGGGAGCTACTTGAAGCTTCTCAGGATAGGGGTGGATATTTGTTATTACTGATCAAGTAAATGATAGAGAATTTTTGGGCTTTCTCGTACAAATACCCTCTGAACCCACACAATGTATTGTAAGAGAGATGAGTGTGGTGGACAGACACCAGGCCTCTGCTGCAGGGGCTGCAACAGCATAGGAGGGAGGCACCTTCCTATCAGCCTACAAGAGGTGAACACACAATGGCAAATGTAAACTTCTGCCTTGCACATTGTACTGAATAGTCTCTGCCCCCTCTGGCTACATCCTCCACCCTTCCCTATTTGGTTTCTACTCTGGGGTGCTGACCTTTTTATTCACCACAATGGGCTCCCTTGCCCTCTGGCTTCTGGTTGGCCTCTGGCAATGAGATGGGAGTGGGAGCAGAGGACCAGACGGCTGGAGGAAACTGAGAGGTGGGAAGTTTACTCCACTCCTCCCTCCCTGCTAGGCTGCGGGATAGCAGTGGTTGTATTCCTCTAGATAAGGCGCTAGCTTCAATCTTGTACCCTCTCCAAAAACTTTCTGGATTCTGATAACCCCTTTCCTACCTTACCCCTTCAGACCTAGTGTGTGAGGTTTCCCATGATGGCCAGCCCCTGAATGCTCCACCATACCTCGTTGTGAGCACCATTAAGTCTATCCAATCCTTTGTAAATAGTCTGCATGTTAACCAATGCTCTGTATCTCATTCGAGTACACCATCTTTCTTAAGGGTAACCTGATTAATACATGCAATCTAAGCCCCTCCAGTTGAAGATGTTATCACTCTCAATCCATTTCTTCATCCTCCATATATCTAATGTATTAATGGTTGTCATGATTGACCAGTAGGAATGAACCAGGGGTAGTAGAAATATGTTGTTGTTAGTTGCCATTGATTCGATTCCAACTCGTGGCTAACCCACATGTTACAGAGTAGAACTGCTCCGTAGAATTTTCTTGGCAATCTTTCCAGAAGCAGATCACCAGCCTTTTCTTCCATAGTACTGCCAGGTGGGTTCGAACCATCAACCTTCAGGTTAGCAGTCAAGAGCAAACCATTTGCACCACCTAGGGACCTTATTTTTTGTAAAAACTAGCATTGTATAGAGTAGGAGTCAGCAAACTGGCTTGGATCTGTTAGTAAAGTTTTACACAGCCATGCCTACTCATTTAAAAAGCAGTCTATGGCTGCTTTTGTGTTATAACGTTAGAGTTGAATAGTTACAGCTGAGATCAACTGTCCTGTAAAGTCTAAAATATTTATCTGTCCCATGTGTTGACCCGTGGTATAGAAGAAAGAACGTACCTGGCCTGAGTATCAGAAGACCAGAGTCGAGCCCTAAATCCACTACTTATTTTGTGACCTTGGCCAAGTCACTTTACTTCATCAAATCTCAGTTTCCTCACCTGTAGAATAATAATAACCCACACAGTTATTGTAAGAATTGAAGTTATCGTTAATCACTATTTTTCAGGAGTTGCTGTCATTTGAGGATGTGGCTGTGTTCTTCACCAAAGAGGAGCAGGAAAACCTTGACTCAGCCCAAAAGTACCTCTACAGAGATGTTATGCTGGAGAATTACAGAAACCTGATCTTCTTGGGTAATGACTTGGTCTTTAAGATTTGGCTTTGTTTGTGTGTTTTCAGTGTCTGCCCAAGTCTTCAGTCCCTTATCTGCAATTCCAAAATCAGAAAAAGCTGAAAACTGGAAGATTTTTCATAACTTACTTGGCTACAAAAATCTGACCTGAAACTATCGGGTGGCAAAACTTGATTTTATTTGACAGGAAGCTATTTTTGTGCGTATCAATATAGTTAGCCTAAGAAGTAATCACTTGATGTCCATAACCTATATGATTTAGAATTATCAGTGTGTTTGAGGATACAGCTGTAAGCCCTTTTGGAGGCATTATGTAATATATATGCCAGCTTACCTTTCTAAAATCTCAAAAAATTCTGAATTCTGCAATACATCTGTCCCCAAGGGTATCCGAAAAGGGATTGTGGACATGGTGATGAATAGTTGCTTTTTGTTTTTAGAGTTCAGACACACTTAATCCATTCTCCACCCCCACCCCACGCCCACCTTTCACATCCACATCTATTAGACCTCTAGGAGTGGAAAAGATTATGACCGATTTGGATTCCAAAGGCCAGCTTCTTATTCTTTTGAAGTCTTTCTCTCTCTCTCTCTCTCTCTCTCTGGAATGGATAACTTTATTTGCAACACCAGGGGATGCCCTGGAAATCATTCCTAACTACATTTCTGAACCTTTACTACTTCCATCTTCCCACCAGCCTATATTTGCCTTATTCCAGTGTAGTCTCCTACTGTGGAGTTTCCCTGCCCTCTCTGAGGTGTGGGGGCTGATAATAGTTTTCTTTCTGGGGCCACATATTTGACCCCTCACATTGATAATCTTGGCACAGTTGTGACCACCTCTTGTGGGATTGTCCACCAACCTCTGTTTTTTTGTAATGTTCATTTTCTTTTTAAAAGCATTACAGGGGCATAATTGAGTATGTGGAAGGTACAGAAAAGTATCAAGGGAAGGGAAAAACTTTCAGGGGTAACACTGTTAATATTTTGGAATATTTGCTTCCAGTCTTTTTTCCTATGCTTTAAAAAATATATGTGAGCATATTCTGTATATAATGCCTTTATTTTTTTTTTTTTTATTATTGTACTTTAGATAAAGGTTTGTAGAACAAACTAGCTTCTCATTAAACAATTAGTACACATACTGTTTTGTAACATTGGTTACCAACCCCAGGACATGTCAACACACTCCCTTTCTCAACTTTGGGTTCCCCATTACCAGCTTTCCTATCCCCTCCTTCTTGTCCTTCCCCCTTGGCTGGTGTGCCCCGTTAAGTCTCGTTTTGTTTTTTGGGCCTGTCTAATCTTTGGCTGAAGGGTGAACCTCAGGAGTGACTTCATTACTGAGCTAAAAGGGTGCCCGGGGGCCATACTCTTGGGGTTTCTCCAGTCTCTGTCCGGCCAGTAAGTCTTGTCTTTTATTGTGAGTTAGAATTTTATCCTACATTTTTCTCCAGCTCTGTCTGGGACCCTCTGTTGTGATCCCTGTCAGAGCAGTCAGTGGTAGTAGCCAGGCACCATCTAGTTGTGCTGGACTCAGTCTGATGGAGACTGTGGTAGTTGTAGTCCATTAATCCTGTGGACTAATCTTTCCCTTGTGTCTTTGGTTTTCTTCATTCTCCCCTGCTCCAGACGGGATGAGACCGGTGGAATATCTTAGATGGCAACTCGCAAACTTTTAAGACTCCAGACGCTACTCAACAAAGTAGAATGTAGACCATTTTCTTTATAAACTATATTAATAATGCCATAATTCTTAACATTATACCATCAGCAATTTCCCTGTTATTAAAATCCCCTATAAATCTAATAAATGATCATAATGTAATTCCACTGTATGATACATAATAATATTTAATTATTTTCCCATTTGGGGATGTTCACCTTGACTTTGTTTTTATTTGTTGGTTTGCTTGTGTGTGTATCATTTTCTGTATTATAATGTTCCAGAGGATGCTTCTGACTATAAATCTTTACATGCATTTCTGATTATTCCCCAAGAATTAGAATTTTGGAGTTAAAGGATATGGGCATTTTAAGTCTCTTAATATATATTGATGAATGAGTTTCCAGAAAATTTGTACTCTCTGAACAGCAGTATTTGAGAGTGCTTCTTTACTATATCACTGCACTCCTTTAGAGATTTTACTAATTATAAAAATAATATATGTTCATAATAGAAATTTTGGAAACTACATCAGTGAATAAAGTAGAAAATAAAAAGCATCTGCAGGCCCATTGCCCAGAAATAACCACTGTTAACATTTTGGTTTACTCTTTCCTAGTCTTTTCCTATATATAGTTTTTAAAAATAGCAACTACAAAATGCAATAATTGAGTTTTCTATTCTGCT